CTTAGGGGCACATTGTTGGGTTATGCTATTCCTCACTTTTAACTACACGATCTGCCCATTGTAGAGTAAGAAACATACTTCTCTGGAATCTTGGAGATTGTTGACAACCCCACAGATTTTGGACCGAAGTATTTTCTAGTCACTTCCTTAAATGGAAGTTATCAGTACCTCTAGAAGAAAGAAACAAATGTATTCAATTTCTTTCTAAACTCACTAGATTATTCCCATAATCTGTTATCCCACCAAACCAGAATCATAGTGTTGAGCTCCTTTGGGATGTCTTTCTAATTGTCTAAAACATCACTATATAATATGGCAGGTACTAGTCACTTGTGCCTATTTTTTTTTTTTTTTTTTTTTTTTTGTGAGACGGAGTCTCGCTCAGTTGCCCAGGCTGGAGTACATTGGCGTGATCTCGGCTTACTGCAAGCTCTGCCACCCGGGTTCACGCCATTCTCCTGCCTCAGCCTCCCAAGTAGCTGGGACTACAGGCGCCCGCCGCCACGCCTGGCTAATTTTTTGCATTTTTAGTAGAGATGGGATTTCACCGTGTTAGCCAGGATGGTCTTGATCTCCTGACCTCGTGATCCGCCCGCCTCGGCCTCCCAAAGTGCTGGGATTGCAGGCATGACCCACCGCACCTGGCCTCACTTGTGCCTTTTGAGCACTTGAAATTTGGCTAGTCCATCTGAAGAACTGAATTTTAGATTTTACTTAATTTTATTTAATTTAAATTCAAATTTAAATAGCCATATGTGACAACTGGCAACTGTATTGGACAGTGCGGCTCCAGAACCTCCTGTAATGGTCATTCTGCATGGAAGATTAAGAACTGAGACTGAATTTGGCAGGAGTTCTTGCTCATGATTCCAATCAAATCCTGTTTATTTTTCTCTGGACAGGGCTTGCAGTTTCCAAACCGGACATGATATCTCATTTGGAGAATGGGAAAGGACCATGGGTGACAATGAGAGAAATTTCAAGAATTCCCTATCCTGGTGAGTTAAACAGAACCAAGAAGATGGGATTTATTTGAAGTAACAGACTATAGGGGGATGTTCAACACAACATCTGAAAAAATTTTAAAGATATATTTGTTCAAAGCTGTCTCAGAGGAAGAGATCCCCCATCTCGCTGTCTGTCTCTCTCACCCCCATCTTCTCTTATCCTCTCTCTCTGTCTTCCACTTTTGGGAACCATCTCATCCTATTGTGCTTTCCTGAGGACATGCTTTTCATAATTATTATTTTGTTCTTCATTCAAACATACACAAAATATCCCTTTCAGGTCTATCTTCTCCAGTTAACTTTCTGTTTCTCATTTGTTTCACCATTATCTGACATTTCTTCCTTCATTTACCTGAAAATGCTTTCATAAGGGTCCCCACTGATTTCTCTTAAGGCAAACTTATTTACTCATTATTTAGTTTTCTTCACCTGCAAGGCTGCAGAAACTTTGGAGGAACCCACCACCTGTCCTCCAGTACCTCCAATACTATACAATCAAAATATAGTATTGATGTATTTAATCAATATTATACATCTATATGCTGTGAACTGGCTTAGGTACAAGGGCTACAGCACCTAATAAAATGGACCAGGTCCCTGCCTTCATGAAGATTAAATTTTGAGAAACAGAAATTTGGCAAATAAATAAAAACAAACTAAATGGTGGTTGCCATACCTCCCAGCTATGAGATAAATTGGAGGATAGGAAAGAGTAACTGGGGTGGGATGAGGACACCTTCAAACAGGGTGGTCAGGGGAGCTTCTGAAGAGGTGACATTTGAGCTGAGACCTGAAGGGTCAGAAGAAGAAGCCAGGGAGGGGAAGAGGAAAAGGGAAGTATTCCAGGCTAAGGGAACAACAATGCAAAGGATCTGATACAGCAAAGAAGGCCATGTATTCTGGAAATCAAAAGGAAGCTGCTGTGACTAAAGTGAGCAAACTGGTACAGAATAAGATTAGAGATGTAGGAGCCTGCCTGTGCAGGGCTTTGTAGATGATCTAAGTGAGTTCCAAAGCATGGAGAGATTTTACTGCAGGGTTTTTAGAAAATAACCCTGTTTATAGAGATTAAACTTGAGGCATAAAGCAGGCAGTAAGTTAAAAGGTTGTTACAATAGTCTATCCAGGAGATGAGAGGAACTTTGATTAGGGTGGTGGTAGTGGAGATGGAAAGAAATAAATAGATTCTGATTCATTTTATTATGATGCCATGAACAACCCACACATGCATTACATATTTTTATATATCAGATATTATTTATGCTTAAAAGATTGAGTGAAAAGTAGACATTAGAGATAGTTTTAAATAACTTTTTAGAGAGGGACTTTTTTTTCCCCTGTGAAGAGGGAAAGAGAAATGGAGCAGTGGCTAAAGGAAAGAATGGAGTCAAGAAAAAACACTTGTTTTATTTTTGAGATGGGAGCTGCTATGACATGTTTGAGTGCTGATAGGATCGCCTTAATGGAGAGAGCGACATTGATGTTGCAAGACAAAGATGAAGGACTAAAGTGTTTGACAGGGTTAAAGGAGATAAAATCTAGAATGGAAAGGGGGATTTACCTTTAACAGGTGGAGAGGTCACCTCCTGTGTTGTAATACTGAGAAAGGTGGAGAAGATGGGTGTACCTGCAGGTCAGTTGAGGGCAGGAAGATTGAGGCCGCTATTATGATAGCTGCCATATTTTCTAAAATGTGAGGCAAGATCATCAGCTTATGGTGAGGGAAGAAAAAGTTGTGAGAGAGGGAAAGTTATTTTTTATGGTAGTGGAATTCACCAGGGAAGCCATCTTGGCCTGAAGCTTTTATTGGGATTTAATTATAGCTTGTATACCTTCAGTACTTAGGACTTTTCATATTTCCTATTTCTTTTTGTTTTAGTTTAGCAAATTATGTTTAGGGATTGTTCTGTTTAATTTTTAAATTTATTGGCATACTATCCTCTGCTTATCATTTAAATGTTTATACGGATCTGAAGTGATGTGCCACTTCTTATTCCTGATAATGGTTTTTTGTGTTTTCTTTATTTTATCTTACTCAGTCTTGCTAGAGTTTATCAATCTTGACTTTTTTTTTCTTTGAGACAGGGTCTCATTCTGTCACCCAGGCTGGAATGCAGTGGCATGATCATAGCTCACTGCAGCCTCGAACTCCTGGGCTCAAGTGATCCTCCTGCCTCATCCTCCTACATAGCTGGGATTAGAGGCACACACCACCACCTAAGATTTTTATGTTTTGTAGAGGGGTCTCACTATGTTGACCAAGATGTTCTCGAACTCCTGGGCTCAAGCTATCCTCCCACCTCAGCCTCCCAAATTGCTGGGATTTCAGATATGAGCCACCATGCATGACATTACTTGGCTTTTAAAAACATTACTGTTTTTAGTCCTTTTTCTTGTATGTTTGAGTTTTATTACTTTCTGTTCTTTATTATTTTATTACATTCTTAGAGCTTAATTTGTGGATCTTTTCTAACCTCTTGAATTAGATACTTATATCATTGATTTTCAGCTGTTCTAATTGTTTAGGGCTATCAGAACTATATCACACTTTTTTATGTAGCATCTTCATAATTTTTGAGTGGAAAATATTTTATATTTCTATTGTGATATCTTTTATCCTTCAGTTATTTTTAAATGTTTTTCTTAATTTTGTGCCATTTGGAAATTTTCTAGCAATCTTATTAACTTTAATTCTATTATGGTCAGACAAGATGCTCTGAATTATGTCAGTCTTTGCAGAATTTTGTAAGCATTTTGTGCTGTTGAAAAAAATTTATAGCCTATACGTATTAAGTATAATTTCTAGATGTGTCAGGAGATTAAGTTTGTTAGTTACGTTGTTAAAATCTGTGTACTTACAGCTTATTCTATCAGTTGAGAAAGATTTTTTAAAGTCTGCTAGTGAGACTATACATTTGTTTCCTATTTTGTTCATTTAATTTTTTTTTCTGTATTTGAAGCTGTGTTATTATGTAAATACAAAGTTATGATTGTTATCTTTATGGTAAATTGGCTTTTGTCATTATGAAGTATTTCATTTCTTAATGGTTTTTGCCTTAAAGTCTG